ATCAGCCTTTTTTCTTTGGCTGTCCCCTAATTTAGTTACAGTCTAGAAAGTGCCCTTAGGCAAAAAAAAAAAAATGACAATAAGAGACTCAGCAAATTGGTTTCCTTTCTCTTAGGACCCCAGTATTTTGCTGTTGTCCAAAGCTGAAATCTATTTCTTCATATATTACATCTAATTCTATAACTATTCATAAGTGGACTCAAGAGCTTCTGATCAGGTTTAATAGTTTAAATTACTCCATGATTTAAATTATTCCTGTAAAGAAACATCCTCAATGGCTCACACTAAAGGAATCATTAGAGAATCTTCAAGTTACTTGTCCATTGCTTAGAAGATGCTTTAGTCAGCTCAGGCTGCCATAAAAAAATACTATAGTCTGGGTCATCCAAACAAGAAGCCTTTATTTTCTCATAGTCTGGAGGCTAGAAATCATAGGTCAGGGAATCAGAATAGTACCATTTTGAGAGTGCTCTTTCTGGAAAATAGCTATGTCCACACATGGAGGATACAAAGAGAGGCAGAAAGTATGTTCTTTGGTGCCTCTTCTTATATGAACATTAACCTTACCATCTTGGAGTTAGACCTAATTTAAACCTAACTATGTAACAAAGGCCCCAACTCCAAATACCATCCCAGGGAGATTTAAGGCTTCAACATGGGAACAGTGAGGGAAAACAATCATTCCGTCCACAACAGATGAGCCCCTCAATGTTGATATAGTAAAATATTGATTTCCTTCTCAATATTGATACAAAAACAAGATGAGATAGCATAAGTTTAGACAGTTTAAGAAAATAGATTCCAAGCATAAGGTAAAGAAATAAATAGATTTTTTTTTTTTGGTACCAGGGATTGAACTCAGGTCCTCACACTTGCGCAGCAGGAGGCAAAACCACTGAGCTAAATCCCCAGCCAAAGAAATAGATTTTGACAGACATTTTAGGGAATATTTCATGAAAGTTTTGAATTTGAGTTTAAATGTGCAAAAAGACAGCAGGAATTTGGGGTCAAGTATAAGAAGCAGATGCTAGAGGATTAATGTTTATTATTCAAGGAAATTGATTTCAAAGACGCAAGTAACTTGTTTTTAAAAATACAATTATAATACAATATTTAACCTTCTGTGTCTGCTTTTTCATTTATGTAGTATTATGGTCTGAAATTGAATATCACATTGTTTCTCTAAAAAGAGACACCCAAAATATAAATCATTTAAATAGCAAAATAAAAGAGATATTGTAGGAAACAGGGAGTTAGACCCTGCAGGGATAGGAAAGAGATCTGGAGAGGGGGGAGAGGAGGAAAGGATGTAAAAATGATAAAAATGTATTACACACATGGACTAATTCCTGAAGATGAATGTAATTAGTACATATCACAAATATATACTAATAAAATCTGAATTTATAAAAGTGAAAAACACCAACAAATAGAACCAATAAACATAGCCTTTAACTCTTCATTTGCTTGTTTTTATCTTTCATACACCAAATATTTATTTTTCTCCAAGGTGATGTTTATATTTTTTTCTGAGGTTTAATCAGAACATAAGCATATTTGTGATAAATATATATATATGTGAATCACCTTAACACTTTGAACATCACTCAGTGTCAATTTTAAAACACACACACATACATACATATAGAGATATAGGAACTGCATACACACACACACACACACACACACACACACACTGGATATGTATGTACATAAGTAAGCATACTTGTATACTTGGTTAATAATGCCTTAGATCTGTGGGAAGTCTGGAACATCTTTATACATTAATTTACATGTATCAAAAATTTCAAATTAATTGGTCCACTATTTAATAGGAATTAATTAGAATATGTGAAAAAAATCTCACTTTTCCACTTACATACTTGGGAGCCAATACTCAGGTTTCACTGAGCATGGAAGAGCATTAGTTCTTCAGGTCATGTTACAGTAAGTAAACACTGTGTTTAGGAAAACACATACATTCTTATGAATTCTCTGTGCTTTCCCTTAGCATCTTTTCTTCTGAGAACTCTCTATCATTGCTCATCACACTGCTTTTATGTTAAATAAGACATTGTTGGCTGAGGATTTAGGTCAGTGGTTTTGCCGCTGCTGCGCAAGCAGCAGCTAGATCCCGAGTTAGATCCCCAGTACCAAAAAAATAAAAAAATAAGACATTGTTTACTTCCTGAATGGAAGAGCTATAATAAGGGTTGAACTATGTTGCCTGCAACACTTTAAAACTGTCCTGTGCCTATGTGAGCAGATTATAGTATTCAGATGGTCCAACCTACAATATCTGTTGGATGAAGCTACCTCAGTTAACCTCTGGGAAACTAAGTCCCCCATCTCTGTTCTTGTGCTTCAATACCTCTCCATATTTCGCTGCTGTGTCTTCGACTATGTGATGCAATTTACCACCTGTGTGCTCTGCCAATCCCTCAAACTCATGTGTCTGAAGACGAGTTTACTCTTCTTGTCTTCCTAATCTGAATATTGTTCAATTATCGACACTGTCATCACTTCTATCATTTAAGCTGTAAAGCATGTAGTCTTTTTTCCTTTATAAAGGCTTTTAACAGTTATTTGATACAATTTATGATCCAGTTAATAATTTTCTACATTCCTGACTAGCAGTTTGAATACTTTTCACTTCATTCTTGTTTCCCTTGACTTAACCTAAGCACATGATCCATTGACATTGATACCACCAGCAGTTCAATGGGAAGATGCCTGGACCAGATGACCTAGCTACTAGTTGTTACAGAGACTAAGGCTTTGAACTCATAGTTAGTTATTTAAATTCTAAAACCTTTCACTTTTCTTCTTCATAAAGTGAGGGTAAAATTGACCATTTAGTTGCATTACATTTTGAAGCTTATTCTTGTTCATTGAATATAGAATATTCACCAGAGAGTACAGATACATATAAAAAAGTAGGTACCACACCAATCATTTATTGTGTCAGAAGTGACAATTAATGAATAAAATAGACTGCCTTTACAGAGGAGATATCATGAGACTATAAACAAGGTTCTTTTAATGAATGCTCAACAACAAATTGCATATATGTATACAGAGAGCTACATAGTGAGGTGGGTAGTGAATGAAATTGGGATTAATTAGTTGATTAGTCAGTAGGTATTATAAAACTGTATAGTCAGTTTTCATTTATATGTTCAATATATGTTGTATATGTGTTATATGTTTGTATATTTGTTTGTATATATGGTACATCTTAGAAACAAATATATTTATCTCTGTTTTTCTTTTAACATTAGTTTAAAATTTTCTCATTTTCTCATGCTAATATTTGTATGATAGTTTGCTATGATATTTTCTCAATTTGTAGCCAATGAATATACCATATAAAATATTCTAATTTTTAGGTATTTATAATATTTACATTTTCTTTTCTCTTGAATAAAATGAGGATGAATTTGTTTTACACAGATTTTTTTAACTGATAAACTAGTTTCTGTGTTTTCTCTCAAACAGCAGAAAATAGATTTTGACAAAGAATCAACTAGGTCAAATCATAAAACAAATTCTCAGCATATAACCAAGCAATTGTACTATTTATTATATAAACAAGGGAACTGAAGACATATGTTCACATAACAACTTGCACATGAATGGTCATGGCAGTATTACTTATAATAACCACAAAGGAGAATTAACACAAATGTCCATCAACTCATAATGGATAAGCAAAATATAATGTAATGTATGTAATGGAATATTTTACAGCCACAAAATAATGAAGTTCTGATATACACTGTCATGTGGGTGAATCTTGAAAACATTATTCTAAGTGAAAAATAAAATTAAAATTCCCAACCTTGATTGTCAACAACGAGGAAAAACTGATCAGCTGTAAATGAATGTCCCCCCAAAAAATACAGGGACACTAATGTCCAGGGCAAGAAAACAAAATTTGTAAAAACAGAGTCAACAAAATTCTGTAGGTCCATTTGATTCACATATAAAAAAAAGATAAGGGATTTAAACATGCTTTTGATATACTTCTGCCACTGAAGTTACATAGCTCTAGTTAGGTGATATGAAAGATTATGCCCTCAAAAATAGGTAAAGATAATTATCAAAATACATAAAATTATGACACTCATGTAGATATCACTCCATATTAAAACATGTATCCATAAATATATGACAAGTATTAAATAAACTGGAAGATATTATAACCAGTTCAAAGGAGAGAACAAAGAACATAAATATGAATATTGATTGGGAACATTGAGATGAATATACAAGTGCAGGCAAAACTGGTTTGATTACTTGCGAGAGAGAAGGACAACTGAACCTCTACTGCAGGTTTACGTCTATCAGTGACTACCACTTACAAAGAGACGTAAAATACTTTAGAGACAAAGTAAAGCTAGAAACAGATAGATAACCTAAAATTGTGTTCTACAGGTAAGGAAAAGATTTCCCATCATCAAGGTTTTATTTGCCAGAGTTCTAACGTCTAAAAGCAAGTGAGAGTTGCCTCAAAATAGTGAATAGAATCAGTTTAACTCATGAGAGAGAATTTACCAATGTTATAAGCATGAAAAAAGACAAAAGAACAGAGATAAAAATATTTATTGTGAATATTTAAGTAATGGTATAAATGGAAGCAAAATTGTTTTCATTATGCTATGATAAGTGAGACAAATGGACCTCTACTGGACATGAGATTCAATATGCCTAAAAGCGGCCAGGGGTTTACAAAGGAATGTAAAACAGCACAAAGACAAACCAAGGCTGTGACCAGAGAACCTGAATGGTGTGCTAACCACCAGGTAATGCCTTCATTGAAACATAAATATTTCTAGAATGTTAAACCTTAGTAGAAGGTTAGAGTTCCCTCAAAAAACTGTATCTAGTTACTAGGATGACCAGGTTCATATATGGACATACATAGACAGAGGCCTAACCAGAGCCCAGTGGACACCAATGACATCACAAAGCCCAGGCTGTCACAAAGGCAGCTCCTGACCAGTGAGAAGCACAGAGAGACAAGTGGGTGGGCACAAGCACTGCTGTTTGGAGAGGCTCAGGCCAGAAGAGAAATCAAACTAGGACAACTGAAGCCAAACACAGCAAGCATCATGGCTGGGAAGAAAAGAAGGCAGAACTCCTCTAAGCCTAGGAAGCAGGCAGTGTCCCGGTCCACAAGAGCAGAGCTGCAGTTTCCCGTCAGCCGTGTGGAGCGTTACCTGAGAGAGGGTGGCTATGCCCAGCGCCTGGGCTCGTCCACACCAGTGTTCCTTGCTGGCGTTCTCGAGTACCTGACAGCCAACATCCTGGACCTGGCTGGCAAGGAGGCCGAGGGCAACTGCAAGAAGCGCATCACCCCACAGCACCTGGAGACAGTGATGGAGAACAACCAGCAGCTCCGTGCCCTTTTCCAGGGTGACACCAAGTCTCTGCTTGATGAGACGTCCCAACTCAAGAAGAAGTGTTGAGGCCTGAGTCCCAGAGCATGGCAAGACCTTATCCTCCTCCTCAACCAGCCCTCAAAACACCCACAGATGAGAGAGCCATTGCTCTTACCATCAGTCTTGCCAATAAAGTGATTAAACCAATGCCAGTTGTTTGTTCTACTCTTTTTAGTTTCTGTCATTTTGAGTTAGAGGTGTTGGGCATCCAGGAGGAGTTGGCCTTTGAAGGTGGGAGGGATAGAAGCAATGGTCAGTGTGGGGCCTTTGAGTCGGTGTTTTCAGTGGGTATATGGTGTGGGTAGTGGCCTTATGGCTGGAGCTGGTTGGTTAAAGGGAAGGGAAGACATTCTCAGGGAAAGAACTGGGGAAAGAAGACACTGATTGGGGGTGGCCTCCCAGGCTTGTTGGATTCCTAGCAAGATGCTGGCAATTGAAGAGGATCTGAAGACCATCACTTAACTGGGGAATGGTTTATTCATAGTAGGGAAGGTCTAAGGTCAAAAAGTGATGGCAGTGGATGTGGAGTGGGGAGCATGTTTGAAACAATGGTGGCAAGAAATGAAAGGGACAGGAGGATTTACATTAAAACAGGAAATGAGAAAAAAAGTGCAGAACAGAAATTGTGCTCATGTTGATTTCTTTTGTTATTTATCTATACACTGCCTCAGTCTAAAAGATGAGTTAGCTATGGAGTATTTGTTTGCATAGTTAATATAATTTTCTGGTCTCTATTGTGGACAATGCTAAATTGCAATAATAGCTAAAACAAATGAGCTGACCCAAGACTAGCACAGCAAGCGGTAATGAGTGGTTATTAATTATTAAGGAACAGGTGTATTTATAACTGTATTTCACTTAAAATATAATCATAATTTTCATATTTGGATACCATCATTTATTGAGCATATATTTGAAAGAACAGTGAAAAAATATCAGTGCCTGAATACGTCCTTTGAGAGGATTAACAAGAACATGGATAACTCTGTCCCAAATAATGAACTCACAGTACATGCAGTTTCTATAAACATGGTGCTGTGCAGTTTGAAATAAGATATAGGATTCACATCAAGTTACACAGATTATTAAAAGCCTCTGAATGGCTTTTTGGGCTAGAGACAAAATAGATGATTATTTGGAGTTTATAGATATGTAATATCTCAAAGAAATATAATGCAAGCCACATATAAAATTTTAAGATTACTAGTGGGCACATTAAAAAATTAAGAGTGAATTGCAGTGGTTTATTTAATCCAATGTATTAAAATACTATCATTTCAATATAAAATAATTCTAAAATCATTTTTTAAAGCTTTCTTTTTTATTATACAAACCCTTCATAGTTGCTCTCTTAATTACTCTTCTTGCTAGGACAAAACATCCAACACCCAAAGTTAAAGGAGGAAAGGTTTAGTTTAGTTTACAGTTTATAGACTCTTCAGTCCATAGTCAGTTGTCTCCAAAGCAAGGTGGCATGGCAGAGGAGCATCACAGAGGAGAAATAGTCCATGGCAAAGAAGGCAAAAAAGAGGCGAAACAGCAAGCAGCAGCAGCAACAAGCCTCCCTTCTCTCTGCCCCTTTATATTCCATCCGGGCTATGAGCCTATTAACTGATGCCACCTATACCGAATGTAGGGCTTCCATTATCCATATCCTTAATCCAGTGTTACACTTCTCCTCCACATTCAAACACCCTGACCCAACCACCTTCAAAACCTCCCACCTATGAACACATGAGGCTTTGTGGGGACGTGTAGACACAAGCTATATCAGTCAAGTATTTTCGTTTAGATCTTTCCTCTGTTTGGCTTACTGCATTGTAAGCTCCTCACAATCGCTGGTACTAGTGCCTGCTACACTGCAGCACACAATTTTAAATCCAAGAATTAGAATGAAAACTTCAACATAAAAATATTTCTTACAAAACTCATGTTCTCTCTCCTGGTAACTATATCATTTCTTAGCCAAAATAATAACAAAAATATACCTTATGTGAATGAAAGAATATTTACAAATAGCAAATTCAATTTATATGAATTTCAAATTCTATTTGGTGGTTGTTGGTTGGCCCATTTCTCAATATATATTCTATTAATTTTTTTCAGCTGGAGAGATAAATACTGATATGTTGCTATTACATATTATTGCTCTTTCTTTACATAATTTCAGTCATAATCTGTACGAGAATTGATCATTTGCCTTTCTTATTTTGTTTATGTTTTAGATCTAATTCTTTATCTGCAATATCTTTGGTATTTTTAAAAGTTTATTTGTAGGGAGATAGATGCATCTTGAGACCATAATGTTTAGAGAAATAAATCAGGCACACAATCTTAAATATTGTTTGGTTGTTCTCATATGAGGAACCCAAACTGTAAACAAAGGGCAAAATAAAAGGTAGATAATAGGAAACAAGGAGATAGATCTTTCTCATATGAGAAAGGGACCAAGAGGTGGAGGAAGGGTAGGGAGGGAAGGAGAGGGGAAGAAAAAGACTTAAAATGTGTATGCCCATGTACCAACTCTACCCAGGTAATGTAAACATTATCTACTGCAAACACGTATGAGTAAAAAAATTAAAAATAAAATAAAAAAGATCTTCTCTGAAAAAAGTTAATTGCAATTTTTGCATGCCTGCAGATGTTTGTGTATGTATTTACTAATCTTTCTTCTTTTTGTGTTGAAAGTCCTTGTGAATATTTTTATGTACTTTACATTTTGATTTTTGGTTTACAAATGTTCAAGTAATATTGTTAAAGAACTTTGGAGTTTTTGTCCTTTCAGTTTTCCTCGTTTAACACAATTGAAATTATTAGTATTAACTAAATTCTTTATCACTGATGGCAATCCTTTTAGAGATGAAGTGCCAAACTGCAACCCAAAGCCCACTTGTTTATCACAAACTGCCAAGACTGCAATTAAACCTGGATATTGAGGTTTTACTTCAGAAAACACAACTCATACATTAACATCTTTTTTCTTAAAAGTAAAACACAATAACAAGCATGCCATAGGTTCTCCACCACTGTGCTATATTATTTTGAACCAAGAATTAACTCATCTGAAAACATGATAACAAAGTAAAGTACAGAAGTTTTGGGAGAATTTCCTTAATTCTGGATAATCTTATCTACTAATTCTATGTCTTCCCACTGAAAATGTCCTCCACTTTGTTTTACTTGAGGCATCAACAGGTCTCTATTTCTAAAATTTTCTGATTATCTGAATCTGACACCTTTTGTCCAAAGTAGGCTTCATACAAATTGCCATATGAAACATGAATATTTTTCATATATCTTAAATGATATTTGCTCAGTATGGACAACCCTTTCCAGCTCCATGTTTCATTATTTCAGAGGCCATTACTCCTTTGATCTAAGCTACAAACAAGATGGGTGCTTGACGCTTCCTTTTCTTTTAGACTACTTCACAGTTCTCTCCTCCATATCCTTGAGCATTGGGATCTATCTCAATCTCTCAATTTGGTCTTTTATTTAGATTCAAATTTTTATTTAATTTTTATTATTACATAGTTTCAGTATATAATGACTACATTTATAATGGGGAGTTGGTACATGTACATAACACATCTTAATTCTTTTCTTAGTATCATTCTTCCTACTCCCATCTCTTGGGCCAATTCCCTTTTGTAAAAGTCCCTATTGTCTATCATTATTTTTCTCTCTAATTTATTTATAATTTAGATGTCTAACATAAGAGAAACCATGTTATATTTAAGCTTGTTAATATAATCATGTTATATTAAGCTCTGATTTATTTCACTTAAAGTTATGGCTTCAAAATGTATCAATTTTCCTACAAATTACTCAAACATATCCTTCCTTCTAGCACAGCAGTATTCCATTGTGTACAAATATCACATATTCATTATCTATTCATCTGTTGATGGACATATAGGTATCTTCCAAGATTTAGCTATTATGAGTCAGGCTGCTATAAACATGGGCATGCATCTATCATTGTAATATGATGTCCTCAATTTTTTCAGGAAGGTACCTTAAAGGAGAATAACTGGGCTGAATGGAGTTTCTTCTGTTTTTTTTGGAGGAATGTCTGTACTGATTTCCATAGTGTTTGTATTAGTCTTTATTCTCATCACCAGTGTAGAAGGGTTCTTTTTTCCCACACCTTGCTCATCATTTGTTTTTATTTAATTTCTTGATAGCCATTTTTTCTGGATTAAGATGGAAAAAAGAGTTATTTTAATTTTCATTTCTCTAATGGCCACAGATTTTGAATATTTTTCATGCATTTATTACGTATTTAAAATTTACTATGACCCTCTTATGTCTTCTAAGAAGTGTGTTCAATTCAGTTGCCCATTTTTTGATGGGGTCTTTTATTTTGTGGGGTCTATATTTTTTGGTTATTTATATATTCAAGACGTTAGTCCTCTGAGGAGGAGCTGGTAAAAAACTGTCCCACTATGTAGGCATCTCTTCATTCCTTTGGTTGTTTCTTTTGCTGTGCAAAAGCTTTTTAATTTGATATAATCCCATTTGTTGCTTCTTGATGTTATTTCTTGTGTAATTGGGGTGCTGTTCAGGAAGTCCTTACCTAAGCTTATGTCTTCAAGACTTTCACCTATTTTATCTTCTGACAGATTAAGTGTTTCTGTTTTAATTTCAGGTCTTTGTCCCATTTTTTATTAGTTTACCACATGCTTAAAGAAAAGCTTCTAGTTTCAGCCTTTCTCAACACCATTTGCTAAAGAGGCTCTCATTCCTCCACTGTGTGTTTTTGGCTCCTTGGTCAAAGATTAGATAGCTGAATGTACCTGGAGTTGTTTCTGCATCCTCTACTCTGTTCCAGTGATTCACATGTCAATTTTTGTGTCAGTACCATTCTAATTTTATTATTGTATCTTTTTTTTTTTTTTTTAGGACAGGGATTGAATTTGGGTCCTTGTGCTTGCGCAGCAGGCGGCAAAACCACTGAGCTAAATCCCCAGTCCATTACT